TAAAATTATGAAATAATAATTTAGAATTATTCTTATATTATCTGATAAAATAAAATGAATTATTCACAATTTGTTTTATCAGATAAAAGCATATTAATTTTAAAATATAAAATATAATTTTATACAAAAAATTATACTTACAAGAGATAGTATAAAAATATATGACATATATATATTTATGTAATATATAATTACATGCATATATGTTTAATATATGCAATAAATATAATGCATATGTATATGTTGTATATATTATATTGAAAATCTCATTTGATATAAATATCTTTAATATTATTAAATATTATTTACGTTAATATTACTTATAGTGAAATATGTTTATAATTATATAAACGTTTATATCACTATAAATAAATTAATAGTTAAATAGATTCGAAAGAAATATACCGATGTTAATTTTTTTATAAATGGAAGAATAAAAGTTATATGAAAGTTAATTTTATTTTTTTAAATGTAATTATTTTTTTAAATACATTGTCCGATATATTTTCTATAAAAAATATTAATTCATATATATCTAAAAATTATTAATTAAAAAAATATTTTGATTTGAATTTTGTAAAATTTATTATAGAAAAGATAAGAAATAATACTTGTTAATTATGCTTTTAGTAAATCAAGATAATATCAGGTGAGATATTAAAATTAAAATTTTTCTGAAAATTTTAGTCGATATTTTTAAATATATTTTAATAATAATAATCAATATAATAATATTTCGAAATATAATAATAATTATAACAAAAAATTTTATATAAAATTATTAATTATAAAAAATAATTTTATAAGTAGAAATAAAAAAAATATAATTAAAAATAATAGAAATGTAAGTGCAAATATTCATTTATTGTATAAATTTAACAATAAAGTATATTTTTTACTTCTCTGAAAGTTTTATTATTATTATTATAATATTCTAGTATATATATTATATTCATCTAATATATACTATATTCATTTAATATATATATAAAAACATTAAATGCCTTTGTTCCGTAGTAAATTAGTATTGAAACAATATGCACCATATCTGAAATAATATGATGTAATGATTATGTGGTCAAAATAAATAGAATTTGAAGTAATAAAATAGAAATTATTATTTACATATTAGGTGGTATCGAATCTCCAAAATAAATTACTTCATTATCCTTTTTATTGTTAAAGCATTTGTACGCCGGAAATGCTTTGGGATTTTTTAAAGACTCCGTATATATCTTCACAGATTTTTGATGACTGCACAAGTCTTCAACAAATTTAATTTTAAAAATGATAAAAACCATTAAAATTAATATTTTTTATGAATTTTAGCAAATATGAAATTTCAATTTTAAAAATAAAAAATTTTGTAAAGAGTTATTATATGTGAAAAAGAAATAAATATAAATTTTAATTTAGTATAATTAAATTTTTTAACAGAATTGTAAATGTTTTTTACGATTTATAAAATACAATTCACTTTATAAAATAAAATTAATTTTTATCAAATGATTCTAATTTTAATCGTGAATGTCAATATAATATAATATAACAGAATATGTTTATACTAATTAATAATAATATTTAATAAAATAATTAATAACGTTACAATTTTTTCTGAAATTATATTATAAATATCTCTTATTCATAGTTGATATCTATACATATATGTAGTGTATATTAATTTAATATAGCTCATTTGTGTCATTTGTTTTAGAATTAAATGTGCACTCCATTATTAAGGTATATTAAAGAAAAACAGCAAGATATGATCTGATCTTTGTGGCCTCAAAATATTATAAGCTGAATTTATTCAAGAGCATAGTAGGGAATAATATACTTTTTTGCAAAAAAGTATCTATATAAAATATTAATATATTCATCTTTGAAGAATCTTCTACAGATCAAAATAAACATAAATAGTATATAAATTGTCGATCAAAACTTGTTCATTTATATGAACAAGATACAAAGAAACTAAGATACAAAAATTTAAGATTTTTTAATATTAGATTTTTTAATATTAGATGAGCCAAACCAAAAACAGAATATAATAAAGAAGATTACAAAAGATTTCTATATGTCTCATCTGAAATTATCACTTTGATATTTATTATAATGATAATAATGATTCTCTGTAACAAGAAATTTTCGGATGGAATTTGAATGATTTTGAAAACTGCATATTTTGATGTTATTTATTTTGTATGTTTCTTTTGATAAGTGGATATATAAAGTCACAGAGTGTTTATTTTTTCAATGCATCATATGATTTTTGCATTATTTCATACAGATATTTTCTATGAAGAAGTATAAATTCAATATTATTTTCTAAAAATTATAAAATTTAAATTTTATAAAATTTATTATATAAAAAATATACAAAGCAATATTTGTTTTTCAATGTCTATAATAAATTTACAAATTATTAATATAATATTTATAAAAATATATATTCTAAACTAATAATTTTTATATTGGGTTAATATTTTTTTTTATAAAGAATGTTAAGTTATATCGAATAATATATCAAAAAATATAATTTCATTTCAGAAAATTGAAATAAAAGGAACTAAAATTAATTTTTATAATATCCATTCATAAAAAAATTAAAAAACATTAGAATATATATTTTTCAAAATCATTTAATTTCCATCTATTTCTTATTGAATAATATTAATGACAAAAATCAAAATAATTTTAAATAAAATATTTTTAAGTATATTTCGCTTTTTCTAAAGTAAATTTCAATTATATAATAAATAAATAAACTTTATTTGATATTTTTGTATATTAATATTTATGTTTATTTTAAACTCTTTTTTCTCAGAAAGCATTTCATGAATATATTAACACACTATATATGGACTATTATATATATATATCAATAATTAAAAAATAACATTCTTATAAAATAAATAACTAACTTATCAATTCAATTTATCAGTCTATCAACTGAAAAAATTTTATTTAGAAGATAAAATTTTCATTGATAAATTAATAAGAAAAGTCTAACTCATAAATTCAGAAATTATAAAATTTTAAAGACAAATAAAATACATCATATAAAGATAATATATAACATACAATTTCATATTTTTGTTCACATTTATTCTAAAAAATTAAAAATTGATCTTTGAATTCTTATTTTTTTATTTTTTGACTGTAGAATATAAAAATTATAAAAAGAATTCCTTAACTTCATTATTACTTTATTTACATAAGAATATTATGTATAAGTAGGAATATTTTTGTAACATTTATTAGAAAATATAAATATACACATATAAATAAAACATACTAAAAAGAATAAAATAATTTATATAAAATGTAATCTATATGATAATAATAGATTAATTATTCAATCTATGTCTTTAATTACATAGTAATAAGCATATATGCTAAGAATATATGTTGAACAATATCAATTAATCAAGCGTAAAAAATCAAAAAATTTTATTTATATAACAAATCTTATATGCATCAATGTTATCATGCTTTGTTTAACATTGATGAGATTTCTTTTGGATGATACATTATGTTTTAAAAAATCAAGATGAATAGTAATTAAGTGCTAATAAGATATTCTTTGTAGAAATATATTTGTTTATATTTTTTTATTATATATTGTTTTCGCAGAAAGTAATAAGTTGTATTATAAATTCATTTGTATTTCTTGTCAAAAATATTTATTGAATTTTAAATAACGAAATATGTCAAAAAATTTTAAATAAAAACTTTAATAAAAAGTTATATATTCTGTCTTAAATCAAAGTCATGCAGTTATATTATTTACAATTTTTTTTTTTTTAATAAAAACCTTCATTTTCATTATGGATTTTCTGATAAAAACCAAATTTTTTGATAAAAAACAAATACTTTTTGTTTTCATTGAATTTGATACAATTTGATTGTAAATTCAATATTTTTATTTTTTATTTTTAAATAATCTTTATTTTGAAAGATGATAATCCTTATATACTATCTTTTTATCTCTTATATATAGTATGTAACTTACAAACTAAAATCAAAGAATAATCAAATTTAACAATTAATTTTAATTTTTTAAAATAATTTTAGATTATAAGAAGAATTTCGTTACATATGTTTTCCACATAAATTTTCCCAAAATTTTATAATTTTTTGACTTTATGAATTAAAAGACTTTTCTTATATCTGTTAAAAATCAAAGATCAAACATTAAAATATAATGAAAAAAATATATGATAATAGTATGATAAGAATATGATATATAGAATATATATAAGAAGGAAAAATATACAGAAAATCTATTTAAATAAAATTATTTAAATTTAATATTTCTTTTAATCGTGATAATATATAAGTATTTTATATATAATTGAAATAATATCAATAATTTATTTATTTCGAATTTTTCAAAATTATCAATGTTCTTTTATATATAAATATATATTTTTCTATTCCATAATCTTAACAAATATTTAGAACATCTTTAGAATAATTGATTTTAAAAACCAAATACAGAAGTTAATATTTAAAAAAATCGGTTACTTATTTATTAAATTATAAACAATTTAAATTTATGTTGAAGCAAAATGAAAATATAATAAGATCGCTTTTTACTTCACTTTATTTAATGCAAATTTAAATTGTTTATAATTCAATAAATAAAAATAACTAATATTTTTTTATAATAATTTTTTTTTATAATCCTTCAAAGATATTTGATATATTAATACACTATTTTAATTTTATCAAAATATTTCATGTAATTATTTGTCTTCATCATATATAGGAAAAATAATAATATAAAAAAAGATATTTTTATTATTGCATTAAATGATTTATCTTTTTGGCCACTTGCAATAGATGACAATGATTATTATAAATAAACAGCATAAATATATCTTTTATAAATTATAATGATAACCGGTTTTCAATGTCGTATTCGATCGCTATTAAAATTTTCTATATTATGACGATGAACCACTAGGATAACTTAACAACAAATTATAATCTACCTCTTCCAATAGTTGGAGGGCAACCCGGTTGAGGACTGATCCCCTTGTTTGCATAAAAATCAACAGTTCCTGTATTGAAAGGTGTCCCATAAAATCCACCATCAGTGTGAAGGATTACAACGGTTTTAGCATCGCTCGACCTGAGATGACACTCAGAAGGATAAAAGAGTGGAAATGCTGGATCTAATCCTATAATATTAGGAGATTGTTATTCTTTTAATTCAGTTTAATAATATTGAATACAATATGTAAAAATAATAACATATATTGTGTTATTGTATTTTCTTTAAGAAATAATTCTTTAAGAAGTAAATCTTTTGAGAAGTAATTCAAAATTTTTCGATCAATATATTTCAATTAAAAATCTTACTTTATATCGTATTTTTTAAATCTTTATATCAATATAATCTAGAATATTTTTTTCTTAAGATAAAGTTTATAATTTTTTATCTGTATTGAATTTTTAATTTTTTATCCGGTCATAATTTTTAAATTCAATTATATGAATTAACATATTTAATATATTTACCATCGATTTATATATCAAATTTGAAATATTATCAATGAATTAGAAATTAGAATATATATGTAATATATGAAACATTTTATGTATTTATTTGTTAGCGTTGTTCAGATCTATTGATACAAAAACTTGAGTATTCGAATATTCATTCAATTGAAAACTGAATATATGTAGAATATTCGGATATTTTAAATTTAAATATTGAATCCGCTTAATAGAAGTTGCATTATTTTAATAAATTTACTTATATTTTGTTTAGTCTGAATTCATATATATATAAAAATATATAGACTATAGCTTTATATTTGGTGAATCATAGAAGAAAAATAATATTTTTTAATTTAACTTAAATTCAGATATTCAAATATTATATTTATATAGAGAGTTCTAGAACAATCGGATAGTATTAATATTTATACATTTTATATATTTAATATTTATATACATCATATAAAAGTTAACAATCTTATTTCCTTTGAAAAATTATTTATTATTCATAACTAAAGATCAATATAAATATTTCAAATCAGATACATAAATTAATACATAATTTTTCATATTTTATTTTTAAAAAATTGTAATTACTTACCCGTTATTCGATTAAGAACAATTTTCATGGATCGTCCAATATGAGCAGCTATGTGAGCACCCAAAGAATGTCCAATCACGTGTAATCTATTCAAATCGATCACTTTGTGAAGTTCTGTCAAGGATTTAGCAACGAGTCTTCCTATCATAGGAACCATATTTGACACGCGAAAGTAATTAATATTAAATGCTATATTTCCCCAATCAAGCAATATTACATTTACGTTCCCTTATCTAAATAGGCTGTAAATATGAAACTTTAAATTCAATCATCTCATTTCTTCGTAATTTATCTCATTTTATATTGCGTGAGAGTAATACATTTAATTGGTGTTTGCACGTTTTCCATTTCCGAGTTCTCCAAGAATCCGTGTATGTAGAGAATACTGTCTCGATCGGTCAAAATGGTATCGCTAATATTTTCTAGATTTGCGAGCGTATATGGAAAAAATATAGGATTTAAACTGTTTCTGTAATTGTGAAAAATATTTTTGTATATAACTTGTATATAAGCAATTTATCGTATTAAATATAATATTGTATAAATTAATATAATAATTAATATATTATTATTAATATAATTAATAATTATTTTTAAATTAATTTAATGTTAACCAAGATATTCTTTGATATAAAGAAAGAAAAATTAGAACTTAGAATTTATTTATCTTTTTATCAAAAGATTTTTAAGTAAATCACTATTATTTGATATATTTACTAAAAAATTTTTTTTTAATTTAAAAAATTAAAAATAGAAATCAAAAATCAAAAATCGAAAATAAAAATCTATCAAAAATATTGATGTAAAAGAGTTAAAAAGAATTAAAATTATGGATCACGATAATATTAAATAAATCATAACAAGCTAATCTTCTCTTAAATTAAATAAATTTACATAAAAAAGAAAATTAAAAAAAAGAAATTTAAATAAAAAAGAAGAAGAATCTTAATAAAGACATTGAATTTAATTTGAACATTGAAAATAATTTTAAAAAAAACATTTATGTAATCATTTTTTTATATTTCAAAACGGAAAACATTAGAAATAGCATTCATTAATCAAAGTACTAGATTTTATATACCCTTTATAAACTTTCAGTTGAATCTTCGTAACGAGAGTAGGATTATCTTTTCCATAACCTACACATCACAAGCAAATGCTATTATAAAAAATAGAGTACAAAATATGTAAAGAAAAAATTAATTCGTACATACACATTGCATCGATTACGTTTTTATGAATTAAGAAAAAAATTAGATAAAGATAAATACGTATTTTTGACATTATTAATTTTATTCAAAGATGATTGACACACACATACACTATATATATTTATTATGATTCTAAAAGAACGTGTTTTGTTCGTAACATTCCCGCTTGTTATGAAATAGATAGGAAAATCTTTGCTATATATATATAAAGTACCCTCTCCGAATAGTTGTCACGTAACAAGAAATAAATAAAGAAATATAACATTTAAAAATCTAAACGATACATAACTATATTATACATGAAAAAAATGAACAATATCACTTATGGCATTTAATATAATCGATAATAATAGATATTTAATATATTTTTAACTTGTTATTAATTATGTTATTTATATCTAGACGTATTATAAATTTAAATTATTAAACTAGAATAACGAGTTTTTTTTTAAAAATAATCATCTGTATAGATAGAATCGAAAATTAATAGAAACAAGGATAAATGTTATAGAAAAATGATAAATTTGTCTTTAGAAGAAAACAGGATTGATTATTAAAAATATAATTTTTAATAGATTAAATCATTTATTGGATAAAAGTTATCAAATCAAATAATAAATTTTATAAAAAATTTTATAAAGAATTTATTATTTTAGTTTATATTATATACATATATATATTTGTTCTTTATTTATTTCAAATATACAGTATAAAAATTAAAATTATATTAGCAACTAAATTTTTGTGACTATACATATATACATACATGACATTTATAAATAATAATAATTATAAAAAAGAGAATAATGAAAACAAGAAGAAAAATATAAGAAATATTTTGCAATATTTTTTCAATAAGATCGAATTGGATGATATATTTTGTGTAATAATAATAATGATGATGTATTATGCTTGCGCACAAATAATAATTCTTGTTATAATGAAAATGTATTATAATATTTGAAATTTACATAATCTTATTTCAAATTATCATTATGTTATATTACAAATTGTACGAGTATTATTAGATTTAAAATGATATGATTGCGAAATTGTCTGGAATAAATCTGCTTCAATTTTTTATGTTTTATTCATTCTCAAGTTTGTTTCAATAAAAAGAACTTTTAATATGTTTCTAACAGCATATCAAAATAAAAAATCATATTGAATATTGATAATGATTTTTTTTTAATTATATACTCAAATTTGAAAAATCAATGATAAAAAACCATGATATATTAAATAATTAAATAAAATTAATATATTAAATAATAAAAATGACTCAAAGAATTTAGCAGATAACATAGATTTAAAAAAATGATATGAATTGTACAATATTATAATAATTTAATTGAAAGAATTAAAAGTTTATCTTACAATTCTCTTTTCAATCTTTATTCTTCAATCTACTTCTCTATCTTTCAGTAAATTCTTAAATTTAAATATATAATTTTTTATGAAATTATTTATTAAAGTTTTTTTAAAAATCAAAAAAATACTTTTTAAAGAAATAAAAAGCATAAAAATAAAAGAAATAAAGAAGAAACCTAGAAGATTATAGAAAGTCGAATAATGCAAAGTACAATATAAAACATTATATATATATATAGATCACATTCTTTTACTTTACTCATTACAGCAACACTTAGCAAGATATTTCCTTCGTTTATATTGTTTTCTTAATCTCGAATATCAAATATCCTTCGAATCTAACGTCTCAAAATATGGCAAAGTTTCACTTCCGGCAGATCAGCGTGGCAGTCACCTACGCTGTAGCGAACTCGCTATAATGGCAAATGCAATGTTCGTTAATTGAATCTTCTAGGTCAAACGATATCCCGCGGGACGAGACGATTTCCTCCCGTGGGCGTTCGTAAGTTAGAGCCATAAGCCAGCGCAAAACATTGGCCATTAATAACATCCGGTAACGAGTATAGTTTAAGCGCGAATACCTGCATATCTTTCTCCTACCAACTTATGCTCTCGTGAGTTTAAACATCTGCATCCCCATGTTGTGATATTGTGTCCGTTTTATTTCTGTGTGTGTGTGTGTGTGTGTGTGTGTGTGTGTGTGTACACATGCGTATAGACTATTTTATTGAATTATTATCATTTAAAATTTTTTAAATTCTTATATAAAATTTATCAATTAATAATATTAATGAATTGATAAATTATAAATTATAAATTATAGATTTTTTTTTTGAAATTTTAAATTTTTGTATAAAATAAGATAATTAATAAAACAAATAATTTATAAAGTTTATTTATTTGTTACTTTACCTTAAAACTATTAATATTGATTATTTCTAATTTATGATATAAAATTTTACTAAAATTATTAAATATGTATAAAAATATATTATATACTATGAATTATTATATATTACATATTATATGGATTGTATGTACGAACTTGCAAAATTAAAAGAAAATTATTGACACTTCGTATAGTAAATATGAATATATATATATATATATGATAAATGTAAATGTGATAAAATATAAAATATGTTAAAAATAATATATATATGTAAAATGGATTAAAAGATAATTCGTTTGTGTATTAACTGCTGCATCAACTAGGAAGCGGACAAATTTTCTTTCTTTTGAATTTCATCATCATCAAATGTCTTTTTTTTCTTTGAATATTTCATAATTAAATAAAGTAAAAAATATATTCGACAAATAACTTTAAAAGAGTCTTTAAAATTTATAAAGACGTATCGATAGTTCAATATGAATTATTTTTAATAGCATTTTTTTTAGCATATATAAAGGATACTTTCCAGTTTTTTTTTTAACATATAAATAATATCTTATTTGAATTTTGATCAATTATCTCCTAAATTTACTTGAAAAATAGTTTTAAATAGAATTTATTTTTTCTCAAAGATAATATACATAAATTATTTCTTTCTAGAAACTTTCTTTCTTAATAGATGATCATATATGATGATTAATTTTATTTTATTATATAATTAAATATATTTCTTAGTATATGATAAAATGAATAATAATAAATAAATAAGATAATTCTATATAAAATAATTTAACTAGAAAGTAAAATAATTTAATAGATACTCTTGTATTCGAACTAATAGCGAGATAAAAATGGCCGGATAGTGGAATTTTCGGATAATAGAACAATTACTACTTTCTTTTGCATTAATTTTCATTTATTCAAAAATAAACAAAATTGACAGTTTCTTTCAACATCTAAGAGTTCCATCTTTTTAACCACTAAGTCACATAAATTTTTTATTGTAAACAGTAGAATTACATTCTCGTTGCGCCTCAAATCATCGAACCATCCATCATATATTCTTGTTAATTTCATTGCATTTTCATCACTTTCAAGATCTTTAATTATTTTGTATTTCTCTTCAATAATTAAAACTACATGTTTTCGTTTACTTGCCATTGTGATATCGTTGCTTCAGACTGAATTGATATGACCAAACATAGGAAAATATTTATTCTATTATTTAAATACGTTGTATTTATGTTGTAATCTAGGTATGTTGTATGTAAACATCGCTATGAAACATTGTGCGGATAACAGAACATACGGATAATAGAACGTTTATATTAGAATATTCGGATAATGAGGGTACGGATATGAGAGTCTCTACTGTAATTATTACATGATGTATGCAATATATTTCTTGATTAATTATTCTTATTTGGTTCGTTGTATAAAGTAAAAATTTCTATATCAAATAATAAAAGACATACACAAAAAATAAATTATCGTTTTGAACAAATTGTCGCATATATATTGCTCAAAAATTACATAATTTATATCCTGTTCAATTAATATTCATTATAGATACGTTACGGATATTGATAATAAAATAACATAGATCGAGATACGCCTTTATCTTCTCTATAATTATTGAACATTCTGATATGTGTTCTATAACGAATAATTACGTAAAATAATAATAACGGATTTAATAATGAACGAATCATTATACGTATATATTGAAAAAAATAACATATAATTCATGATAATATACGGAAAAGTCTCTCTTTAATTTTTTTTCTTGGATTATAAATTGGATAAATTGGATTATAAATTACGTAAAACTTTAGTGAAAGAATTTTCGATTATTACTATTGAAGACTATGTTTGTAATTGTTTCTTTATATTAAATAATTATAAAAGCCTAGAGTAAATGTAAAATATGTATTTTATTATATTTAAAATATATACTTTTTAATTACTGATTTATTGAGAGAATTTATTATAAAT